CCCCTCCGGCAACCACCTGTTTGTTCTCTATATCTATGGATCTGTTTCTGTTTGGTTATGTTTGCTCATTTATTTTGTCTTTTAGATTCCACATGTAAGTGAAATCATACATTATTTGCCTTTCTCCAACTGACTTATAATTCACTTAGCCTAATACCCTCTAGGTCCATTCATGTTGTTGTGGATGGTAAGATTTCATTCTTTTCTCTGGCTGACATTTATATATATAGTATTTATCCATTAATCTATTGATGGACACTCAGATTGCTTCCATATCTTGGCTACTGTGAACAATACTGCAATGAACAAAGGAGTGCATGTATCTTTCATAGTTAGTGTTTTTGTTTTCTTTGGATAAATACCCGGAAGTGGAATTGCTGGATTGTATGGTCGTTTTATTTTTAATTTTTTGAGAAATCTCCATACAGTTTTCCATAGTGGCTGCACCAATTGACATTCCCACCAACAGTGCATGAGGGTTCCCTTTTCTCCACATCCTCACCAACAACTGTTATTTGTTGTCTTTTTGATAATAGCCATGCTGACGGGTATGAGGTGATATCTCATTGTGGTTCTGATTTGCATTTCCCTGGTGATTAGCCATATTGAGCATCTTTTCATGTGTTGGTTGGCCATATATCTTCTTTGGAAAAATATCTGTTCAAATCCTCTGCCCACATTTAAATCAGTTTTTTGTTTATATTGAGTTATATGAATTCTTTGTATATTTTGCATATTAACCCCTTATCAGATACATTGTTTGCATATATCTTCTCCCATTTGGGACGTGGCCTTTCCATTTTGTTGACAGTTTCCTTCATTGTGCAAAAGCTTTTTAGTTTGATGTAGTCCCATTTAAAAAAAGTTTTGCTTTTGTTTCCCTTGCATGAGGAGACATATTGAAAAAAAAATTACTAAGACTGGTATCAAAGAGCGTACTGCCTATGTTTTCTTGTAGAAGTTTTATGGTTTCAGGTTTTACATTGTCTTGTTATTTGCTGTCTTTTTGATGATAGCCCTTCAGACAGGTGTGAGGCCAAAGACAGTTGTTGATGAATGCATTGCCCAGCCAAGTCTTGTCCAAACACAGACCTACAAAAGTATGAGATAAAATAAAATGGTCATTGTTTTAAGTTACTAACTTCTGGGGTTTTTTGTTAGTCAGCGTTAGGTAACCAGAACACCTTGACTACACCCGGTATGCCCCATTCCCTAGATCCTCTGCTTTATCGCCTCCAGGGAATGTTTCTGATCTTCTGCCCAAATCAGACAGGCAGCTGTGTAATGTCACGAAGGGGTTGGAGGAGACTGGTTGCTTTCTGTACAGACGTGCAAAAAACTCCTCCTGTTTTTAGGCTTAATTATATACCCACTTTTAGAAGCACCTGGTTCAGCAGTCCCTGCATATCCTGGGATATTGTATAATGTCATGTTGCTTCTTCCCCTATACCTAGCTTCAGAGTCAGTTTTCTTAGGTCTGCCAAGTCAGTTATCACCTCTCTGATTTCCAGTTTCTAAAATTTTGTTATTTTTCGTCTTGTTCCCTTGTTCTTGTAAGATTAAAAACAAAATCTACTATTGTTATTTAGCTGGATTTCAAGAGGGAGATGAGGCAAGTGCCTGTGTTCATTCTGCTATCTTTAAAGGCCCCTTTGAGTCTTTAATTGCAACGATTATATTAATTTTTAAAGTCCTCGTAGATCAGGTTCCCTAGAAGCAAAGCCTGAGAAAAGGATTCTTGTGTAAGTGCCTTGGTGAGGGGGTATTCTCAGGAGAACCTGTAAGAGAAGCGGGCTAGCGCAGAGAAAGAAGCAAAGCACAAATGAGGTTTCTGCTGAAGTTTAGCCTCAGTATAAGCTTATGGGAGCCCTGGAATGTGCAGGGCATCATAGATTTATTCTTGGCCTTTTGTATCCCATAAAGTTAGCATTGACTGTGGCTTCCCAACCTGGCTTGAGGGCAGTTATGGGAAGAAGGGGGCAGCTGTGAGCACCCGCCTAGTAAAGGTGATCTTAGCAGGGTGCTTCTGTGCCATTCCTACCCTTTTTTATTTTATTTATTTTTAAAGGAACACAATAGTGTCTCTAATCCCTCTAAGGGAATAAATTATCCATATTTCATTTTTTTTAACCCACTGTTTGTCTTCTTAATTTTGTTTCCTCTCTGTTGGTTCATAAACTGAAGCTCAGAAACTTAAAGTTATCGAGTAAAGGCAGCAAAACCAGGTGTAGATTCCAAGTAAGTCTGCTCCAAAACCCATGCTCTTAACCAGATTAAATCACCTCCTGTAGCTGCGTCTTAATGAAATAATTTAATGCTACCTCTCCAATTTTAAGGGTGCTAACAGCCACTTGCATTTTGACCTGTTGGGTATTAAACACTCCCCCAAAACCACCTGCCCTCTGTTAAATAAAATAGGAATTTGCCTGTAGACCCAACGGGTTCATTATGCAAGGATTCACTGAGTACCTGCCATGTGCTAGAAGGGTACCGGGTGTGGGGGCCAAGACCACGTAGACCCCGTCAGTGCCTTCATGAGGTCTGAGTCCATTCGGGGAAGTAGATACGAACAGAAAAGACTATATTAAAAGGACAAGCGCTGCTTCAAGGCCAAACCTGGGAGCTTCTGACCAGCAGCGAAGCCTGGTAATTTACAGGTGAAGAGGGAAAGGTCTGGGACCACTCTGAACCCCTATTCCCAAAGATTTTCCCCCCCAAAAAGGGAAGTCGGCTTTCCTCGAGGGAGATGTGGAACTCCTGGGAACTTTGGGAGATGTCTGTTTCCATGTGCAAGAGGGAAACGAAATGTGCCGTTCTGATTTCACTTTCCACTTTTCCGGCCGCAGTCTCGGCGTGAGAAAGTGCAGTGTCTAGGGGAGGAAGCTTTGGTTCCCGGCGGCCGAGACCTGGGGGAGCGGCCCTCCCTGGGTGTCGGAGCGCCGGCCACCGGCCACCGGAGAGTCCGGCGGCTCCGACTCATGGGCGCTGGAGCGGGGCCGGGCGGGGC